GACACAGTCAGATAGTTGTCAGCTCGCTGACTGTAAGGGAGAAGGTATATCCGTATTTCGCTGCTGCTACTGATGCAGTCCTTGATCTGGCAATCAAGGCTTCTCTGTTTTTCGTCTAACTATGTACCGTTGGGCTTGTGGAACCCGTATGGGGGACATACATAGGTTAGGAATGGTTTTGTGCACAAGAGGGAGTGAGGGAATGAGGGTTGAAGAGAGAGAGCTTGAGAGTTGTTAGGGTGATTAGGATCAGTAGGTGGAGTGTTTGGTTGGAGCTTTCTGTTTTTGCTGTATAGCATTTTAGTCACTCCGCAGTTTATTAACTGTGTCTCAACTCTGCTTTGTGGAATACTGCTGGATAGGCCAGCTTACCATGGGGTAAGAACCCATATGATAAGACAGATAGTATGCCCTGGTTTTGGTCTTTAGGTTGGGTAGTGGTCGGAGCCTGCAGGCGGATCTGCAATAGAGACGTCAGACGGGGTCATAAAAGTGGCTACCTCAGCCTACATCGGTACCCACGCCCTCCTGCTTCTCTAAGGCCCGGGTGTCTTTATTTAGAGACGAGTTGCCCGGGTTAACAATTAAAGGCTTTGTAGGCATCCCTCCACTTACCTGTACTCCGGAAAAGGACAAACTTAGGTAGTCGAGAGTCCTCGACGGTTGAAGCAGGAGAGGGACAGAGTTGTATCTGGTATGTGGACGTCGGTTTGCACAGTCAAAGGCAGGGTTTATCCATCGGGGGTCGAATGAAGTGCATTTGGGAAGGGGAGTCGTCGGCTGCAGTATGCCTGTAACTTCGACGGAGGTATCTAGCCAGGAAAACAACCACAGTGCTAGAGATATCCGGGCTTCTCCTTGACAAAAGAATTTCAGTCGAACCACCTGCTAGCAAAAGAGACAAGGTGAAGTGGCCGGCGTCCAATGATGGTCGATGGAGTAAGGTTTGATGAATGTGTGGTAGAGAAGTTTGCAGTGGTTCTCAAGCGGAAACCATTCAAGAGAAGATGGTGAGTCATTGTGATGTAGTTGTACGACGAGGGTGTCAAGTTGTTTGGTATTGTTGAAGTAGGTGCTGGTAGTGGAAAGAAGTCCATGAGCTTTAAGAACAGACGAAGGGAGGAGATTGACAGCCTGATTGGAAAGAGGAAGCAGTTGAGGAGGAAGAAAAGGAAGGCAAGGAGTGAGATAGAGAAGGATGGTATGAAGCATTATGAGAGTGTTGGCTGGTCGTTTGATGAAGTTGAGGAGGCTGAGAAAAGGAGACAGAAGCAGAGAGAGATAAGGAGAGTTAGAGGGGATTTTGGACGCGACCCTTTCAAGACAGTCAAGGGAGTGCTAAATCCAAGTCCAGTGGGTGAGCTTAAGTGTTCAAAGGAGGAGCTAGATGATCACTTGGCCAGAACATACGGAGATCCAGCCCGGCAGCAGCCCCTGGTATACCTTGAGGGTCTACCTGAGTGTGCTCCTGAACCCTCTGTTGCCTTTGAACCTCACAACGGTATCCAAGAAGGAGTGTTGAGGAGGTTGTAAAAAGGAAGGAGAAGAGTGCCCGGTAACAAGGGATCCCGTACCAGTGTACAAGAGATGTCTGGTATTGCCAAAATCTTGGGACCGCTAAGAACGGATATGTTGAAGAAATTCCGACAATTGTAGGATTTCGAGGGTGTTACACCAAGGGGATGGCGACTTTTCACCAGTTCAGGACGCCATTTCCCTGGGTAAAATTTAAGGGGAAAAATCTATTTGGCGTCCTGGCGAAAAGGTTTACCAGCTTTGTTGTCTCGAAGGTATTTTAAACCCCCTTTTACAAAGGGGGGTGTCCCGGGGTCCCTGGGTGCCGGACATTTTGGTGCCATGTGGGGGGTTTGAAGGAGGCAAAGGTAAGAAAAGGGTTGAGTGTGTATGGTTACCCCTAACGCTTACGGAGCGTACCCCCCGTTTGATTTCCCGGGCCTCCTTTCTACAACGTCCCCGAGAAGGTTTCAAAAATTATCCTACGGGGTTTTTCGGGGATTCGGAAGGTTCTCCCCAAAAACTGACTCAATGGCAGCAGTTTGGATAGGATCTTCATGGGGTGTTGATATCAGTCATCTTGTTTTTTCTTGTGCATGAAAAACCCTTGGGCATGACACCTAAAGTCTAAAATTCCGAAAGATTGAGTCATAAGGATGACACACCCAAAACAATTGAAGCTGTTTATGGGCGATACGTCTGACCCCCCGCACGTGAGAAGATTGCAAACGTTATCAATGTGTTTCAGAAGTATGGGGGCGGGCCAGATTTAAGTTAAAGTCCCCCAAACCAGGCATGGGTTGAAAAGGGAGTGGGGTGAGGGGGTTTGGGAGGTATTGGGAGGAGAGGAGGAGGGGGAGAGAGATTTTTGTTTGCGTTGGTGGTGAGGTGTTCCGAATGTTCAGGAAGCGATAAAAATTTCCCGGGAGATGGATAAAGTGGAAGGAAATGACAAATCATCATCGACTAACCAAAAGGGCGACCTTAAAACATTTTTTTCGGGGACCCATGAAAGTTCCTTACGGGTCCGAATGCGGGGATACATCTGGTCCTTCCAAAATGAAGTGGCCTCTTCCCTCTATGAAATTCCCTTCACAAAAAATTACCCGATGGGAACGAAAACCAACGTTTTTTCAGAAAGTGGTTAGGGGTGGGGCACCTCTGAGTGGGCTTTGTCTGTTCAGCAAACATCCCGTTGGCCTTACCGGTGAGCAGCTTGACGATACAGGAATATAAGAAGTGCGACGTTGCAATCTTATCGACATTAAGGATGACCTGATTAAAACATCCCCGCCCCCAAATTCGTTCGGTAGAGTTTGGAGGCCTAGACAGAACTGGGAAAAGGCCAGAAGAGATTTTGGCTGTGAATCGGGCGAGGGGGTGGGGGCAAACCCCAAAAAAGGTTGGCACGGTTTTGGGGACGGAAAAAAACCCTTGGGGGAGGTGGGTCGGGAAAGAGAAGGGGGGTATCGAGAGTGAAGGAGAACATTGAAAAAGAGAGGGAGGTGCAAGTGGTTCTTGGGGAGCGAGCAGGGGGGGGAGTGGAGGGGAGCTCGTAATGAAGACGGAAATTTTTAGCTGGCATACACTTTTTAAATTGGGGGCTCACTATTGGGTTCTGCTAAAGGGTGGTGGCACCCCCTTAACCCCTCTATGGGTTTTCCCAAATGGAGTAAAAATGAGGGGGGAGTGCAAGTTATGTGAGGAGAGGGGGGGGCACCATTTACACATTTTTGGGTGGTGTAGGTGGGCCCCTTTGTCAAGGAAGGGTTTGATGGCGGCCGACAAGTTTCTGAAGCAGATCTCTGAAAGGTTGTTTTCCTTGTGTCGCCGAGGAACCTTATAAGAACAAGGCGGGAATGGAAGACATTCATTTATTTTGTTCCCGCTGGGAAAAAAAAAAACAGGTACAGACGACCCAAGGAAGTCGTGGTTTTGGGGTCCTGATGGGGATCGGATGGATAGTGCGTCAACCTTGAGGGGGACTTAAGTTTCCCCGGAATTGTGGGAAAAAACGGTGAGGGCCGGGGCCTTGTGTATTCTCAAGGTCGGCAAGACAGTTATTTGGGGGGAGCAACAGTACCATCTGAAAAAGCGGTCGCTGAATCGCACGAGTAAACTCGACCGAACATGGTCTGCAGGGTGAGATTCAGGCGAAAGGTTTTGGGGCGTTTAATGCCGCAGTCGAAGTTGGAGCTAGGGGAAAGGGTTGCGCATCGCAGAGTTTGGAGAAGCTGCGAGGGGATTGGGTTTTGAGGAAGAGAGCTGAAGAAGCTGGGACGGAACAGTGGGAAAAGGCCAGCCCCCTGTTCCGGGATTTACTTTTATCGAGAAAGAGGGGTGGGAGTTTAGGAAGGTTGGAGCTTTAGAGCACATAAATTAGAGGAAACCATAAAATTATCTCGTCGCCCTTTTTGAGCTCTAACGGGTTCCCAAGTGACTCTCGGGTCGATGGTGGTTCCAGGGGGGATGCTGGGGCGCCCGACGGAAACCCTATTGCGATTAAAGCCCGAAAGGTGTCAGGTTGGTAACTGATGATTTTATCCATGCCCCCTGAGTTTTCTGTTGACTCAAATTGCAAAATGAGCTCTCCCATCTTGGGTGAATTGCTAAAACTTTATACTAAACCCCGGGGGTGGCATGTGAGTAATACGGGCGGCGGGTGCAATAGCGAAGGGGGTGGGCAAGGCCCCAAAAGACACAGTCAAAAGTTGTCACTCGCTGACTGTAAGGGAGAAGTATATCCGTTTTTTCGCTGCACTGTTTCAGTCCTTGATTTGGCAACAAGGCTTCTCTGTTTTTTTTTCTAACTATGTACCCTTGGGCTTGTGGAACCCCCTAAGGGGGGCATAATAGGTTAGAAAGGTTTTTGTGCCCAAGAGGGTGGGGAATGAGGGTTGAAAAGAGAGAGTGAGAGTTTTTAGGGTGGTTTGGATCGTAGGGGGAGTGTTTGGTTTGGGGCTTTCTGTTTTTGCTGTATAGCATTTTAGGGGACTCCGCAGTTTTAAATTTTTTTAACTGTGTCTCAACTTGAACGCCTAATAAAAGGCCCCCGACCCAGATTTTTAAGGAAAATAGCGCTTTGGGCCTCAATTTTAAAAGGGAAATGTCAATTTGGGCGCGAGGGTCTGAGAAAATCGCAATTTGTCGCGGCAAATAAAAGTGAAAATCGTGATTTTTCGCGGGGAATGGGGAAAAAAACGAAAATTTCCCTACAAGCCCCCAATTTCCCCTTTTTTCCTTGCCCAAATTTTTTTTTAATTTTGTCTTAGGTGCGAACCCCCCCCCCCCCCCCCCCCCCCCCCCCCCCCCCCCCCCCCCCCCCCCCCCCCCCCCCCCCCCCCCCCCCCCCC